CATTCCAACTTAATGCACATATACATACGCAAATCATCACTAATGTAAAATTACACTTGGCCTACATTTGAGTTAACTCAGACACAATTTGTCCCGTCAGATCAACTCAAACGTCCTTTTGTTTCCCACCCCCCATTGAACGCAACCAGGCCTATGAAAGCCCTCAGGCATGCGGCGTCCCCTGACCCGCAGGAAAACAACGTGTGAGCATCAAGGACAAAGAGCAGCTCGCCTGCGGAGACGTACGTCTCGTCTGTCTTTGTTTACAGATTGTGGGGCTTCTGGGAAACGGTGTTTAATGACTACACGCAGCACGGCCGCATCATCAGAGCCCTGACAGAGCCAGGTGTGTGTTCTCGCTTCGACAGGCGCTAATGAGCAGCAGCATCCTACTTCTCAAAGAAATCTAGGAGCTCCAATAGATCCAGATACTATTAAGTCTGAAATGCTTCAGCTTTTCTACAGTGGTAAAAGCCCCGAAGCCTGGCTGTGGTATTTATATTAATATTCATGGCTACATTATGTATAAAGCATAGTCTCTTGGTGCAGCAAAAGAAAAAAAGATTAGAAAGTAACAAACTTCATTTTCTCAAAAATTGTCTGTGACTGAAAGAAAAAAGATCGGCAAAAAAATGCAAATATGTGGATTGGTAATTTAAAGATGGGATCTGTGCCTGCAGGGTTACCATGTATTTTTTTTAAGTTTAATTGAAAAATGACTGTAGATCAAAACTATTTTTTGCATTTAAACATGCCATAACATCTCTCTCGGTCTCACGGCATCCTCTCCGCTTTTCTTTGTCAGCTTTGCAGCACAGACTCACAATGCTCAATTGCAATCGCCCTTTAAGGAGGCGCACCATGCGTGCATGGCTCTGGACCGGGCATGCGTATGTGGATGTGTGTGTGTGTTTGTGTGTGTGTGTGTGTGGTATAGAGGAAGGGAGAATGAAGGGGGAGGGGCTGTGCAGGAGCATCATAGGCTTTGCTTTTTAGTTTCCATCTCTAATATTCTCTTTTCCTTCATGAGAAACAGTTACATTTATTGTTGCCTTTCAAAATAAAGCGTATCAGTACTCTTCAGAATAAATAAAATCATGTTGGTGATGGTTATAACAGAAGGTTTGAAGTTACTGCTTTGGATTTTCAGAATAAATTTTAGGCTCGCTTCAAAATAAAAGTTTATAGGTCCAATTAAAGCAAAAGCAAGTTCCAGAAGTGAAAAAAAGTTGTTCCAATAAATCTCAATTTTTAAAATGAGAGCTCCACTCTTATTTGTTGGCTTACTTTGAGTAGCTTTTAAATATCTCACAGGATTTTCATAATAATAATGGATATTCTTGCAAATTTAACGCCTCATGTTTCATAAATGAGTTCATAATAAAATGATGTTCCACATTGCTAAAGAAAGTACGACAAAGGTAATTTTTAATTTGCCTTTTCTCAAGGTTAGCAATTTGGAAAACCAGGTCGAGGTTTTTATGACTACTCTTCAAAATAAAAGCCTCCATACTTAATAGAACAGATTATTGAAAAGATCAAATCCACAAGGCAATGTGGAGCTAAACCTGGCGTGAAATAAACTGATCCAGTTGACCCTTTAAATGATTAATCTTGTATAACCTTCAATGTTAGTCTTCAGCAAGAGCGGGATTCAAAATTCCTAATGGGCCTAAAACCAACGGAGCTACAAATTTTTACAGAATAAAAATGTAGAAATACTTCAGTAATAAATGCCTTTAGATTAGCAATGAAAAAAAAACTGTGATGACAACAATCGCCTCTCGATCAGAAATCACTTGAACTTTGGAGATTCTAATCGGCTCGCCCACGTCGTGAAAATACTTCACTTTGACAGCCATGCGTCATAGCAACTGCCCAAAAGTAAAATTTCTGTAGATCAGATCTTATAATTGTGGGTTCCAGATTTTGGGCTTAAAAGACAAAACCGTCTATTGTTGGGTCTAAATCAGACTGGAAAGGCATTTCGGTGGCACACAGTGCAGCCATCACCAACATTTCTTGAGGATTTTTTATTTTTATTTTTTCCAGTTTCCTTTTAGTGCTACAAGTGTATCTTTGGCCTGAGGCCAGTTGGCTGTAGGAATCCATTAGCAGTGATGTTCTAGCTGCATTTGACAGAGTTAGCTCCCACTTTATTCCAGAAACTCACTCTTTGTCACATATGCTGGGTTTGTTGTGCATTTCTGATCTCCCTTCTGTCCTTAAATAACCCAATCTTCCTGATGTGATCCAAAAATTAGACTCGCACGGTTTACGTGAGACTGGAAAGGCCGTCTGATTCCTCGCTCTCTGAAGGCACAACCACAGCCTCCTGCTCTCATCGCTATCTTTAGATATGCTGACAAAGGCAGAGGATCAAAAGAACAAGTCAAACAGGTGTGTGAGAAGAAAGGTGGATCAAGCAGAAGGCATCAAAGAACAGCCTTTATGGCTGGAGAGCGCGAAAAAGTCAGACAGATCGGATTAAAATAAGATTTCCTGCTGACTTTTTTATCTTATCAAAGGAGCATCTTTTTCAGAAAGTTATACAAGCAAGACTTTCTACGCGAGCAGCTTGTGAGGAAGCTACAGCTGCAGAAAAAAGGAGTCAGTTTCCACCAAAAAACTGAAATTTTGAGATTTGCCCAATTTTTTAACTTTTGAAACTGAAATGTGATTGAATTCCTCACGGATTCATCTCAGCATTTCCGAGTTTCTATTTGTGGCATATCTTTTGCTTTTTGAAACTTTGACATTTCTAAAAAAAACATTCTAGCAAAAGCCCTGGGATTAATCTCAACATTTCTGAGTTTTTCGTTGGAAATTTACTCCTCTTTTTGACAATGGCCCTGATACGCTGCTGCTGGACGGCTAAAGCTCTCCAGACCCGTCTGATCCTGTCTGCTCTCTGGAGAGGGCAGAGCAGGCTAATATTTGATTAACGGGACACTGATTCATGGTGACGCTCATAAGTGCAGTGTCAATATCCAAGTCTTCCGGGGATCAGACTGATTAGGTTTAGCCTACTTCAGAAATAGACATTAACCTTATGTACTGCAGCTGTACCACACAGATTGATTTCATTTTTGATATGCTGCTCAGACAAACAGTACGGTATACTGAATGATGCGATGCACTGCAAAATTGCCCAGTATTGCCAAGTATTTGTGGTCTAGTTTAGTTTCGACTTTCAAGTCAAGTTGAAAGTTGACTTGAAAGGAAGTTGATCTCCTAGATTGGGCTCATTTGGGCTAGATTTGAGCACACAGCGGTTATCCACCTCTGGAATCTAGAGGGCCACCTAAAGAGTTTTGACAGGCCGGATTTGGCCCCCGGGCCGTGAGTTCGACCAATATGCTCCAGGTAGTTAGTTGCAACTATTCTGCTCTTGGAGTATGAAAACTGCGACGATACTAAGCACAGCAAAAAAAGTGCTAGGAAAGCAAACAAAAGGTGTGGAGCTCAAACAGCAAAGCGAAGCGCTAAGCTAATTAGCAGAAAGGAAAATAGTACTCCATCAGTGCAATAAGAGGCCTGGGCTTAGAATAAAATTGGAATAACATTGGATACACTTTTAATACAAAAGGCAACAGCTCTGACAGGTGTAGCATATTGTAAGGTAATGAGATTTTGTACATTTCTTCAAATACCTCTTACTAACAAAGCTGAACACAATAGAACAGATAAATCTCTCTTAACAGATGATGTTCCCCTCCGTTATGTCCACAGGTGTGAATTTGACCTTTGCACGGGGCGATCAGCAGTCATTGACCCTTTGACCTGGGTCAGTTTTGGTCAAGCTCCTGAAGCAAATCATTGGAAGTGGAAGTTCCACAAGAGCAAAATGTTTCATGGACGAATCCAGAAACGCAGGACATAGTGAACCGAGTGTGGGCCGTCGTTATCCAACCGACGAGCCGGACTGAAAACGCCGAACCATGCCTGAGTGTGTGTTGCCATGAGAATGAGAGGCTGTTTCCCTAGCAACCACTCTGCAAATATGCCACCTTCCTCCAGTCTGCACTCTCCTGATGAGATTCGATGATGCAAGTGCGGCAGCAGCGGTGTTAATAGTTACACCAGTCAGCGGGTCAGACGTGGCCCAGGCTGTGCAAGAAGCACAATAATGAGATTAATTTGATGAGCTTTAAAGTACAGAACGAAATGCCACATGTCAGCTTTCCAGGTATTGTTTTAACAGGTAGTGTTGAAACTAAGTTAGCAAGTTTATGTTTCTCACATTTATGAGCTCTATAGCTTTAATATTGCTCCTTTATGAAGGCTCCTGGTGTAAGCCCGTGACACCAGAAGACTGGATGTTTTAGCCTCATATTGCCGGCCTTAAGGCTCAATTCCAACTTTTTTTTTTTGCTAAAGTTTAATTTTTAGCATACATTTGGAAATGGTTCACATTTCCAAATGTATGCGACCTGAATGTGATCCTCCGTGAACAGCAAACAAACTAAAAGTGTCCCGCATGCGGAGGAGGGGATGCAAAAACGTCACATGTATCAAACATGATAAAGTATTTGTGCACATGAGCTGATTACCATCCCCAACGAATACTGGAAGCCTGCTGTATTGATGTTTTTCCATCAAATGGCTGGTGAAGCACCAGCCATTTTGCTGCGTTGTGTAGAGTTTGATGATGATCCTCTTTCCTTTCTGTCCGTCTTTTTCAGGTGTTGGGTGCTGATGCTGTAACCAGCGCGAGGAGCTGAGAAGCCCTAGTTGATGCAGTGAAGTGTTCCAGTGGGATAAACACGAGCAAAGAAGGTAGGAAAACAAAAGACAGTGAGCAGAAACACATTATTTTTTTAAGAGCTGGCTCACTCTGCGCAGCTGCTGAGCGGGTTTGACCCCCAGGCCGGTGAGCGCCCCGTCACTCAAGGGCAGTTTGCGGTTTCCTGAAAGACTCTCAGAGGGTAAAGAGGAAGCTCGAATTGGTGAGTTAATAGTAGTTGGACTTGGCAAAGAGAGAGAGTGCTGTGTCTTTGCTCAGCTGCTGAGCTGCAACAGGAGGATTCTTTCAGTGGGAGCTGAAAGGAGCTCAGCTGCTTGGCTCCCGGTCTAAACCAGGTTTGCTTTTCATGCCCATGTGGTCGCAGAGATGTGTCTTCATTGAGACTCAAGGAGGCCCCTCGGCTTGGTTCCTCTTCTTTGCTCCCCGGTTGCGTAAGAGGAATTCTTTGCTCCACTTTCACTCTGGCTATTTAGAGGTTGTGTCTGTTTGCATGTTTGAGAAACTACTGCGACCAGAAGCCAGCGATTGCACTTCCCGATTCCAAGAATGTCACGCCTCAATGCTCCAACAGTCAGTGATCTAATCACTGTTACGCAATGCTTGGGCCCTATTGCCTGCCGCCTCCCTCTTAGACGTCTTTGCACCCAAGGGCCACCAGCGAGAGCAAGTGGTCCCCTGACAGAGATGTCCTGTGACAAAAGAAGGCCAAAAAGTCTGGAGAGTGCTGCTCAATGGTAAAATGGAGAAGTGAGGCAGAAAGGAGAGCTGCAGGGAATATTTTTTGAGGAACCCATTCTGGTGTCAGAAACTAAAGGAGAAAACTAGCTTTTCCGTGCAACAGAAATGTGAGCAGCGACAGAGCAGCGTCAGAAAGAGGCAGAAATGAACAGAACCTCGCGTCTGCGGCGAAAACCTCAACGCTGCACAGCGTCACCCTCTGAACAAGGTGTGAACAAAGAAAGAAAGAACTGAGCAGCATCCGGGTCGAAGCTAATAGAGAAAACCACAGGTCTTTAAATAGACGTCGAATAGAGAAGTGCGAAGTGGACTTCACACTCAAACAGAGGGAGGAAGAGAGACACGAGTACGAGTTTACATCCGTCTCCAGAGGCGGCGAGTGGCAAACCGGAGCCGCTGGGGGACTCTGAGCTCGAATAACTGGGGGATTTACCTGCGGTGACGCTTTCAGAAGACACACCGAGTAAGTAAGACAGGAGTAGAAGGTTGGGGGTGAAGAAACCGAGGAAGAGGAGCATCACCGAGAGGAAAAGAGGGTAAGACGACAGAGAGTCTGAGAGATGCTGCTCTAATTTCCTCCGTCTGAAGCTCAACATGCCGTGCCCTCCTGATCGCCACGAGCGAGTTTCATTTTAAAGACACACATCACAGGCGGTACAGCAGCGACCGTTTGTGCAAGCTTCACACCGTTTTTCCCTCCATCCTCGGCTGCGGACGGCATTGCCAGGCCAACGGTATCCTGGCAACCGTCCGCCGAGCGCTGCTCTGGGGATGGACCTCATGCTGCTCCAGTCTAAGCTGTGTGTGTGCTGATATGTGTGTGGATTCCTCTGACAAAGAGAAACATTGCGTCACCTGGTTTTAGTCACTTGTGGTCGAGGATGCGATTCAAATCTTCTCGACTTTACATCACGGCCCCTCATTAAGTGCCCTGTTCGTGCATTCTCCAAGGTTACAAGGCAAAGTTAGATAAGCTGTGGGCTAAACTCGTGTGTTAGAGCAATGACTCAGCAGGCAGAGGTGCTTCTTTGCTGATGTAGATGCAGAAGGATATTTGAGGAGGCATGGGTATCATCGGAGTTGATGCAGAACGTCAATACCGTCCGGCTGTGTCTCGGTGCTGCATTGCGACCCCCGCTCTCGTTGAGTGGTAATGAAAAGACTGGGCCTTGTTCTTTTCCTACACGAGGGACGGTGGCATCTCGTAAACATGCTAATGCTGGCTGTAAATCCTTCCTCCATGGACCGATAGGCCCCTCCCGAGTGCTAACATAGCACATAAAGACAGCAGAGGAAGTAAAACCTTGGCTTCTGTCACCAAAGTCACCACAGATTTTACATCCACAGAGCTTTGTGCCTTTTTTTGCTGTACATGTCGCAGTTTGGTTTAAACTTTCTGGTAGTGAATGCTCCTGTTCCTCTACCTACTCTAAAGACACTCGAGAAAACTTTGAATCTCACAGGGTGATACCTTACCTTCAGTGCCTTGCAAAACTGTGCATGTTACAATGACAAACCTGGATGCATTTCACTGGGCTTTCAAGACATAGACCGAAACTAAGTAAATTGTGAGTAATGTAGTGCTGTTTTCTTCTGGTACCCAGACTCAGATGCCATGTAATCAGTGAATAAGATCTGCCTGTAGTAGTTTAATGTGGCAGAATGAATTTGGCTCAGTGCTTAGAGGAGCTAACAGCATCACAAGGACCATAACAGAAAGGTCCAGGATGAAGGTGTGTGAGGGTTAAAGCAAGATTACAGGACAACTGTTGGACATGCAGTCCACATCTCTGCTATTGTTCAATACGAACAAACCAGTTGGTTAGACTTGATGAGAGGATCATCAGCATCCTCTCATCTCCAAATAATCTCCAACTTCCACACCATCCCTACTCAGCTACTCCGGACTAGCCATTAGCAATTAGCAAACATATGAATGACCTGCGCTTCTGATGAGCTCATCATGGAAACTATTTCTCAGTCCAGTGTTCCTAAGAACTGTTGTAAACAGAATAGGTGTAGTTATGATGACATGCTGAAGGCGATGTGTCGGGAAGAGCAGGAGCTTCTTAAAGAGACAGAGGCCCAATTTTAAGGCCTCAAATTGCAAAGTCAAATTTCTTTTTAGTTATGTTTGATATATATACAGTATATTTATAGCAACTGAAGGTACCAGTTACTTCTCTGTGCTATAAAGTTGTACTGTGTATCTGGAAAATGAGTAATACTGCACCTTTAAATATAATTCAGAATCTTTGGGAAAACTTTCAAATGAATGACCCCACTCATGTTTAGCTTCTTAGTATGTCACAATTAAAGACGACATTTTGTCCGTCTACTCTTGAAATCTCAATGAAATTCGTCCTTATGAATATAACATTGCAAAATGCACATGGATACTTTTGCAAAGCACTGTATTCTCATTCTATGTGTTTTTTATTTAGCTCTGGCATCTAACATATTGGTTCAAAGTTTTAAAAAAAATCTCTGGAAAGCATCAATAGACCATTGGCTATCAAAACCATCAGATGGGAGCAGTCTGTATGCGGCGGGTTTTTATTGGGTTACTATAGTAATGTAAATGGATTAAAACCACTGTCCAGCTCTAGTGACTCTCAGTAAGTGAGCTAAATGATTCGGCTCTGGATTTAGACCACGTTGTAAGTGGATACAGCATATTGGACATAAACTGTGATCAGTGTCACTGATGGCTGGGACGTCTGCTTCCTCTCTGGAGATGCTGCCTCAACAGATGGACGGAGAAGACGAGGAACAAGGCAGAAATGCAGACGAACCTGAGGTGTTCTCCATGTCTCTGCTGTGTGTTGGTGTGTTTTTTTGCGCACTGCCAGGTCCTGTATGCATTTTGTTGTTTCCTCCCGTCCAGGTCGCTGGCCATGGGGAACCTCATTAAGGTCCTTGGCAAGGATTTAGAGAACTGTCCGCATTTTTTCCTGGACTTTGAAAGTAAGTGAGCGCCAGGGTGTGTGTGCACGTGTCTGTGTGCTTGAATTGTGAGTGTGGAGCGGAAGGTGGCGCCGTGGGAGGTCGGTGGCCGGGTACCGAGGGGGGAGGCAGGGAGGGAAATGTTGGGGTGTGAGCTGCTGGGTCTTTGATGGTGTGATGGAGTGTTGTTGAGGGTGTTGTTTCTCATCATCAGATGCTCTTCAGTCCCACTCTCACTCAGATAATTGTGTAGATATTAGACATCAGCATTTCTGGGAAACAGAACAGAATCGCCTGCAGCAGGCAAGTCATGGGCTGGCATGACATTCTAAAGCCCTACACAGAAACACAATAGCATTACTTTAAAATAAAATCGCATTGCTTAAGTCTAGTGTACACGATTATGTGGTTACCAAATTAGTTGTTGATTATTTCAATAATCACGATTGATACGACTAATTGTTTCAGCCCTGGTCAGTTTTAGCTATTCACATTTTGAGACAAAAACAAAAATGTGTAAAAAGTATTAGAAACTTACCAATTGCTTGTTGCCAGACTGCCAGCACGTCCTCTGGTTATGAATTCATAGGCGTCTGTGTTAGTTGTTGCCATTCAGTAGACTGTGTCTACATTGGATATTTAGTTTGTAAGGATTGTGTCGATTTTTGAAGCTCAAGGAAAAAAATCTGAATTTAGCCTTTTTAAGTAATGAGTTTGCTAGCTCATCAGAGAACTAGCAGTCTACGTCTGTTTAGAGCTACAGACGTACAGGTTGGTCAAAAAGGCATAATAACAGCAAATCACCACCATTTAAATTTTGCTCAATGCCTAAAGTAGTTTTGCTTGTTGCACCTAATGTCAGGAGCTTGACGAGGCCATGGTAGTTAACTACTTTAACCAAGTAGAGGGTAGATGAAGCTACCGACATGGTTAACTTCACTTGTTTCATAAAGTTAAAGGAAATTTTCTTCTTTATACCTTCATTCACACCTGACTGACAGCTTGCAGCTTCAGGTGAGAGGTGGGGAAGCAGGAAACTGGACATTTGAAGACAATGATGTACCTTAAAACCAGCCTTTGCCTATCATAGAAAAGTATGCAAGCTGTATATTTAGGAGGATTAGATATGTAATGTCTTCAATTTTTTTTCTGTATTTATCACCACAAACTAGTGTGCTCCAGGGATTTAGCCATGTAGTTATTGTTTCCATGCAGGTTTCTGTGCCGCATTGGTGAGCACTACACGAGAGCGGGACTGAAGATGCTCTGTTGTCAGTGTTGCCATGCATCACCCAGGCCTTACTCATCCTCTCTCATCCGGCCGCCCACCTCCACCACGCCGCCTCCTGCACGCCACACACATATGCGGCTCACACACACACACATATCCATACACCCGTGTGCGCACAACCCCCACCCTGACACGGCCATCCCCTCATCACCCACAGACTTCTCCCCTCTCTCTGTTCCAGGGGGCTCATGGGAAACCTCCTGAAAGTGCTGGCTTGTGCCGAACTTGAGCATGGGCCAATAGTTTTCCTTGACTTTGAACGTGAGACCATCAGCTTCTTATTTTGAGTTATCCTTTTGTCTTTGTTGCCTTTCCCTTTTATTTTGACACCATTCCATCCGCCTTAGCTAACCATCGTACCATCTCTACTTCCTGGTTTTCTGCCCCTCTGTTCTGTTTCCCCTCACACTTTGTCTTTTAATTTCACGGACTGGCATTTTTGAATCATTTGGGTTCTTTGGAGAGAATCCCTCAATAGAAGGAACTGCTATAAGATGGGAAGTAATACACTTTGACCATCACAGACAGAAAGATGAGAACTAATAAACAGCAAATGTCAGTCCTGCGTGGGTTTTCTGTTGCTCGCCGATGACAATGTTGCAATCTGTCGTCATCCGAGTACATCCTCCTCGTCCTCCTCATCTTCTCCTCATCTCCTGGTGGATGTCGAGTCTTACTGCGTGCTTGCTTTCCACTAATGCGGGTGTATGTGAGTGTGATGAAGAGGCTGAGAAAGAGAATGACTGTGGAGAAAACTGTTGTGAATACAATCACTCGTGCTCCTTCTTCCCCCACTTTAGAGGCTGCAGTGCAAAAATCATCCATCCTAACAAGATCTTTGACGCCTTAGAGTTGATTGAAATCAAACAGACTGCAAAGTTATTTCCATTCTCACTGATCAAATATCAGCTTTCTTCTTTATTGGTTATTAATTATATTACCTGCTAGAAACTTGACGGGACCAAAGAGCCTGTTAGGGTGGAAAAAGTATTTTCCTCTTTAAAGATCGTATCTGTTTTTTATTTATTTATTTATTTTTTTTGGCTACATTTAAATATTTCAGCTCAAGCTAGTTTTAATAATATCATGAAAAGCTCAATAATGCAGTTTTCAAACCAAGTATTTCATTCGTTACGGGGGTAAAGCTATTCAAGCCAACCTGGTCCCGTGTGAAAGTGTATTTGCTTCAACTAGCCATCAACTACCTGTAGTTTTCCACCGTTTGGTGGAGCAGAAACGGCGCTTTGTCTGTGAAATATTACTACCAGTAGCACGTAGCGGCGGCTCAATAGCAAGAGCAGAACCACCTCCAGCTCCAGGACTTGAATTATTTTCCAGGTTATTTGTTTAGCCTTCTGATCGTGATCCTGATCTGGGAGAGTGTTGGTAGTTGTGCGCTGCTGTACCTGCTGTCTGGCCGCTCTGGATGTCATTTTTTCCTTACGTTGAGCTTTGATGTAGCCAAGTGCTTTATATGTCATATTAGATTCATCCTGTTGATGCATTGTGACGCGCTTCACCCCCGAGGTAATTTTCCGCCGCAACACACAAACGTCCCCATTCACTCTGAGAGCATTAGAGTTCCTCACGACAGGATTTGTTGCTGCGCGCAGGCTGCGAGGTGAGATACAGGCGATCACTTTGGTGATCGGCAACAAGAGACAGTGATCGGTGATCACCGATCATACACTTCTTCACAGAAATTGGCCGATTATGATCGGTGGCCAATTAATCAGCCAAAAAGAAAAAAAAATCAACTGGGCACACACATCGTCCAACCAGACATAGACCTATACACATATTTGGTTTTCAAACTCCACTGAAGTTTATTTCACATTTCAGGTTGCAACAAAACACGCTACAAACCATCTTTACAGTGAAACACTTTTGTGCAACTGTTTCTTTTTGCTGGCGGGCTTTGGATCATTGCTCTGCTGAAAAACCCAAGTCCGCTTGCACTCAAGGTCACAGACTGATGGTCAGACTTTCTGATTCAGGATTTTTCTGCTAGAGAGCAGCATTTATGGTTTCATCTATCAGAGCAGGTCCTCCAGCAGCAGAGCAGCCATGGACCTTGTTTGACTGTGGGAACGATGTTCTCTGAAATGCTGTTAGCTTTAAACACAACTTCCAGAAAGTTCAGCTTTTGTCTCATCAGTCTACAAAATATTTTTCTGAAGGATTTTGGGGATCACCAGGTTTTTTTTGTGCCAAATAAGCCTGGAAAGTGTTTGGCCAAAACCCTCCAAAGAGACGTAAAAGACTCAAGGCCTGTTGTCACTTGATAGCAGTTGTTACCACCAAACGTCGCATAACAGCTTAGAGGCTTTTCACACGGGTTCAGGTTGGCTTGGCTCGCTTTTGTCCTCATTTTCTCAGATTATCCTAGTCTGATATTGAAATTTACTTGACCTGAAACGTTGCAAGTGCGTCATAGTGCTGGGGAGCGGGGAGGCAAATACTTTCTCACTGTATTTGCACTGTGTCCATTCATATCCTGCCCTTTCCTTGCCACCTTCCCCCCCTTTAACAGCTGTCTTCCTCCTTCTTCTCCTCCCTCGCCAGCTATACGTTAGAGCAGGAGCTCACTGCTGCTGGCGTGAAACGTCAAACTGTCAAATACGCTGAATCCCCCCCCCTCCCGTTTCATTATGCATGTGATTCACTCGACTTCAAAAGCAAAAACGAATGAGTCAGAGTAGGGAATGGCAGCTTTAGAGAACCTTACCCCCCCACGATCCCTCCTCATCCACCTCTGTGCCATCTGTGAGCTCTCTCTCTCTCTCTCTCTCTCTCTGTTTGTTTCTTTCTCTCTCTCAAATCGGGAGATGCACTCACCTCTGTCACACAAGTCTGGTTTGAGCCGACCTTTGTTTGAAAAGTTAACTACAGGGCTGTGTTTGAATGCCTTCAGGCGACATTTTGTGGACAGCTTTTTAAAATTTTAATCACGACAACATAATGCTTAAAAATGAACATTTTAGAATTTTATTATTATTTTGTTTTTTTCACCATAACGATACACAAAACTGGGTTTTCAAAGCCAAACCAACAGGGAGAGAGATTAGAGTTTACATGTGAATTTAAAATGACACACAAAAAATTAGCACAATGAATTTCAGGAGTAACTCTGTTGACAGGTATGCATGTTCTGTTTCTTGGTAACACGCACACACACACACACACACACACACACACACACACACACACACACACCCCCACACACACACACACAGGTACACACACCTACTAAGGCATGCCACTCGGTTTTACTGACATCATGGGGATTCCTTCACACGTCTACATCCCAGAATAGCACATGACCCAAACTCTTGAAGCACTTTCATCCCCAAAGCTACCTGAATGACCCAAACCAAGAACTTCTGGGTTCTGGAACTGAATAAAAGGATGTATAATTTCATACATAGATCTCTCTTCTGCTTTTGTTTCCTAAGTTTGGTAAAATAGTCACAACAGTAAATTGTCTGCGAAAAAGAAAAAAAACATGATTAATACATGAATAATCATGATAACTGAATATGAATTAAAAATAATAGTGGATAAATAGCTTAAGACCAAATGCAAAAATTAAATCATATACAAATCTATTAATCTCATGTTAAATAAATAAAAAATATTACTTTTTATTTAAGTATTTATGTCAGCTGGAGTTATGCAGAACAGAGCTGATCGTTGCTATGGAAACGATCAGAAGCAAGACGTTGCGGCT